CACCGCCTCGTGCTCTGCTGTGCTGATGGAGCGGCCACTGTGCCCCCCGGCAGGTGCATCAGCCTGCCCTTGTTTGGTCATCTTCCCCTCTGGAATAACCCGGTCACTTCATAAACAGGGTTTATGGGCCAGCAAAGAAGGACGGAGTAACTTACAAAAAACACAGAAGAACATTTTGAATGTATAAATCTGAATGTTCCTATTTTTCAGAAGACAATGAGAAACCCTTCTCTTTTGGGCTGCAGACACTGAAATCTCTGAAGGTAGGAGTTTTCCAGCAGACCTTTTCCCCAGGCTGGGGGAGCTGGGACCACTGTGAACTGCAGTTTTCCCTTACCTAAAGGTATTTATTCTCTAGTGTGTCATAAACATGGAGAAGCACCATCTCGTTCTGGGGAAGACGGACAGGGAAGAAATCCCGTTTGTGGGCGGTGGCAGCGCCGCGGCGGGAGAGCAGTAAGTTGGTTGGGGAGGTGAGCTGTGTGTGCCCCCCGAGCCTGACAGTCCTGCCCCCACCACAGACCCTAGCTGCGGGCAAGCAAGAGCTCACTGGCACTGGCAGAAATTGTTTTCATCAGCTGATAGAGTTCTGAAACAGAGTCCCCCTTTTTCAGCCACTTTCACCCCCCCAGTAAGCCTTGTACAGCAGCTGGGGGGTCTGAAAAGACACGAACATGGACATAATGCCTTAGGAAATGGACTTTTTGGAGGTCACTCAGAAGACTCCTTGAGCACTGCTTTGAGCATGTGTTCCCAAACAAACCTTTTTCTGGAATATATTTATGAAGCAAGGTAAACAAACCCACATGAATGTCTCGCAAAGTGCAGAGGAGAGAGATACTTCCCAGAGATAACGGTGTTGCCTCTTCTCCCTGGTTTGCCCTAGTTGCCCTCCTGCCAGCTGCTCCTGATGTCCTGGACTTTTTCAGCCTTATCTCCCTGTAGAAAGAGAAATCTGTGCCACCCACTCTGGTACTTCAACGTGTGCAGCTTGTGCTGGCAGTCAAGGAGCAGGCAGGGCAATCCCCTTTCTTCCAGGCACTGCGCAGGGCTCTTCCTCACTGAGCACTGTGAAAAAGAGACCTATCACTGGTCCTGCCTCTGACTTAGGAAACTGACAGACTCTGGGTGCCTGAGAGGTGGATTTGCTTTTTTGTGCCTCTTGGGCTTTGTAGGCAGCACTTGTGGTTGCTCAGAAAGAATCTTTGGGGAACAATACAGGGTGGTACCTTCTTTAGCTGCCTGTTGTGACTATCCACAGTCATTTTGGATGTTCTGCAGCCCCTGTGCAGCTTGAGCCTGCTGTGCTGCACACCACCAAGCTCAAGGAGCCTGGGAAGGAGCAGACCTTCCTCAGCTAATTGTGTTTGTACTCTTTGGAGAGTAGGTGAGGGACAGACACGCTAGTGCAGGGAGTCAAGACAACAGCACATGTGCACCCATTTTGTGTGCAGGCCAATTTTTTATGCCTTTTTTTTTTTAAATAAATGAAAAACATGTATTTTATTGAATGTCTTTTCCTTCCTGTTTCAGTGATTTGGAGTCATAAAGAGATATTGAAACACAGTCCCGACAGAAGAGCCTGACATCAAAGAAATCCTGTGCAGCTGTTCCAGATGAAACAGCAGCACCCTGCTTTGAAAATATTTATACTAGGCTACAGCTTGAGTAGAGCTGAATGAAATCCTGTTCAGTAGCCACTAATTTAGAGATATTGTCATGTTTATCTATGGGTTTTGAGAAACAAATGTGCTTATTTTCTGGACTTTTCTATATAGTGTCCTCTTTATTACAAACAGTTGGGAAAACCTTATTAATACCTTCTGATGATAAAAATCCTTTTTATAGTGGCCTCGTATGAGTAATTGTATTTAGCTGTGATTAGAGGCTATCAGAATTAAATTTTTATTAATGATTTTTCCAGGGCCTAAGCATTTATATTCACTTAATTGATATTGCTGCATTCAAATGGCCATTACCAGGAAGTTACTCAGAGTAAAATAACAATGCTAATACCACCTAGGAATTATAGATCATCCTGTTAACATAGTATTGTTGCCATGTAATTAGGGATGCAACTGCCGGCTTGATGAGAAAGAGCAATTACAGAATTATTAATGGTTATAGGTTTCTCTGCAGTGACATGACAGAAGCACAGAAATGGAGTCTGAGAGGGCTGCTGGGGTGGATCTCCAGGAGCCCCCAGCTCACTGTGGTTTGGCACCAGCACATTGGGGCAGCCCATCCTGTCCCTGGCGCTTGAAACCCCCCCAAAGAAGAATCCTCTGGGCAGGTCTCAGCTGCCTTCCTAACAGCAGTAGGCAGGAAAATCAGTAATCATGTTGAGCCAAAACGCAACAAACAAGCACAAAAGTATGTTGTCTGAAAAGCAGCAGAGACAGAGACTCCTTGGTATACCAGGAACCAAAAGGTCCTACCTTGGGTTCTCTGCCCTTGGTTCTCCCCCTGCCCACCCAGCACCCAGCCCGGAGCAGCAGCAGCACCCGGCACGGCTGCTGTGGGTCATAGACTCCAGGTGGGCTTCAGTGTTGCTGTCAGATATGCCATATTTTTTTATAACTACTTACAAATTGCTTGGGATCTTCAGCACAATGCTAAGCTCCGTCACACTCTGGGCGGTGTTTTTGCCAGGACAAACACTTCATTCAGTGCTCCTGTCCTGTAGCAGCAGGGTTGCTATGTCACATGCTGCTCACTTGCAGACCAGAACAAATGCATGGTACTGCTTGGGGGAGCCTGGCCTGGTGCAAAAGCAGCTTTCTTGATTTTAAAAAGCTAATGGGAATTAATTGCTGTCATCTGCTGAGCAGGCATCTTTAAAATTCAGAATAACATCCTTGAGATGTTGTTCACCTGCTGATGGCCAGTCCTGCTGCAGCCAGATCTGCAAGGGCCAGATGTGTGCTGCAGGAGTGGGAATGCTGCTCCAGCAGCTCTTCCTTAGCAAAAGCCCTTTGGCCCCAGGCAGGCACAGGCTGTGGCACAGCTCAGCTGGGCTTCCCTTATGGGATCCAAGTGGCTGTTCATGCGCTTAAGCCTCCCCGCAGACTTTAACGCAGGACTCGCCCAGGCATCCTGTGGTGCAGCATCAGCTGCAATCACCCCCACTGATGCTGGCATTTCCACTTAGGAAATGTCTCAGGAATCCTGGGCGAGGACCAGTGACTTTTTTCAATTTGTGGCTGTTGGCTCAGGTCCTGCAAGACAAGCTCCAGCCAGCTTTAGCCAGTCTGTGCCCAGTAAAGCCATCTCATTCCTCCCATTGCATCTGGGCTGGAGTTTTATCTCCTGCAGTGGGTTTGAACCTCTTTTCAATATTGGGTATGACTAGCAAATCTGAACTATCCATATTTTGAGCTATTTTCTATTTTGGTGATAAGTTTCAGTGCTTTCTCTACATACAGTATTTTATATAACACAGCTATATATATATATCTACAGGGACTGCCCAGGGCAGTCCCAACAATGTGTTCTAGAAATATTTCACTAAATATGAAATAGATTGGATTATTTTATATGCTATGAGTTTGGTATTTTGGTACTTCTTTCTGTGCTTATTACTGTGCTAAATGTCAAATTAAATCTGAATAAAGTTACACTGTTATTGCTGTTGGTTTGCTTGTACCCTGGATATGCTGGTGGTTTGTTTTCAGTGCACTTAACTGTTGAGAACAGGAGTCGATTTCACTCTTTACCCTGGTGGGACTCCCCAGTGCTTTTGTGCTTCTGTTGGGAATTGCTATCAGAGAGTACAGAGAGTGGCAGTGGGGATGTGCTAACAGGACTTGCTAAATGGCATATGGCACTTGTAGTGAATGGGAGCATTTGAAATTCCAGCCTTATGTTGCTGTGCAGCTCCCTCTCAAAGGAGCTGTGAGACCCTGCTTGTGCTGCTTTGAGTTTTAACCTTTGGAAAGCTGAGTTTGTTTCTGCCATGTTTGGCTCGCTTGCTGGGGCAAAGGCAGCCAGTGGAGTGGAACACAAAAGCAACTTTTAGAACTGTATGAAGCTAGGATAACAAAGTATTCAGAGCAGAAGACAGGTAAGGCACCAGTGCAGCAGCTATGCGATCACAAGCAGAAGAGCTGAAGTCTGAGATCAGGGTTTTCCCTGATTTTTCCCTGATTTGAATGTGGATTTAGGGGCTTGCTGTCACTGCCTGGATAGGCTTTAGGCTGCTTCAGCAGTAGCTTTTCTTTCTTCTACCAATAAGGAATTACCCTTTTATACACCCAAGTTCTACAGCAAAAACCTTTGGTGAAGCAGCAATACTCCAAGCCAAATAAAAGTGGCTCTTCTTGGTGCTGGGCTGCCTTTCTTTGGGCACAGAAAAAAAACAGGTTCCAGCAATCAAATGGAGGAAAAATAAGGAGGATAAATGTATAGGCAATAACTTCTCATGCTTCCTGGAGCTGCTATGGGATTCTAGACTTACTCAGACTATCCCTGATGCTAGAGAGCAAAGTCCTAGCACACACAAATGAAAAATCAATGGGGAAAATGTTATCCCTCCATGCAGAGTGGTGTAGCCTTGGTGCTGGTGGCCTTTCAGAGGTGGCTTCTGTGAGCAAGATGCTCTATGAGATAGGACAGCTGCTATAGGAGACAGGCACTCACCTCAATCCAGAGGGTTTATAGACTATGAAAAGCAATCTCTGATGTCTATATCTACACAAGCACTTGCATGGCTACAGAGGTAAGTAGTTGAGTGTTGCAGATCATCTCAGCAAGCCCTGAGTCCTTGCTCCTGTTTATCTCCAGCACAGGCATGTGCCTATGCACATCTGGCAACCTCTCCCTGACATGGGTTTGGAGGATGCCTGTGCATGGCCTTGCAACCAAGGGACCTGCTGCCTCATGGCTGGGGGCAGAGAAGAGGGCAATATCTGAAACGATCTGAGACTAGAAGAACTCAGCGGTAAAAAAGCAGCTATGAGCAGATGTTATGAGAAACCTCTGGGGTGGCGGAAGGCTCTATTGAATGACTTGTCATGCTGCTGAATGCTGTCATGCTGCAAACAGACATCTCACAGGTGAGGACAAGCACAATCCCCCAAAGCAGCCTAAGGCAAAGTGGGCCAGCTGCTCCTCGTCAAAGGGCTCCCCAGCACTACTGATGGTGCTCATTGTAGTCAGCAAAGTGTGGTGGGACAAAACACCTCCTCTGCTGCATTTTCTTCATTTTGGTTATGTCTAAAGGGAAGATCAAACACACAAAGGCATTAACAGGAGGCTTAGTGGGTCCATCCCAGCATTTCAAAAGCTGGTCAAATGTGCAGGATCATGATGCTTGGGATCCTGAAATTAAGATGGTCCATGTGATTTAGACATCAACGCTGGCTGAAAATTAGAGATCTGGACAGCTGGTGGAGGGTGGCTTTCAGGCTCCCAGCTCATGTCTATATTTCACTGTAAGTGATGCACTGGAGGCCATGTGGC